TTTGCTGGAGCTGGGCTGGCTGCTGGCCTCGTGTGCAGCTGCTGCTCTCCTGCTCTGTCCCGAGACTTCGCTGTCCCCCGGGCTCAGGGGCAGCTGTAACAGACCCTGTAGTAACAAAGGAGAGAGGCAGAGATGTTGCTGGGCTGAGGCTTTTGAAATAAGAGCAGCTGATGCTTTTCTTCCTTCCCCTTGTTCCCATGTGCATCAACACCAAACAGTCTTTACAAAGAGCTGGCAAGTGGCAGTTAATCATAGAGTCTTGGAAGTCTATTGTGTAGCCACACTTGGCACTGTCTCTCCTTCCCTTCTCCCCCACTTTAGAGATGAGAGCTGATCAATTTTATAAATGAGTCCGCTCACTCCTGCTTTGGAAGTTTAAGGCACTGGTGTTGCTTTTGGAGCCTGGGGATCCCTTCCTCAGCTGCTGCCAGGTCCCTTCTTGGTGAGGCAGAGTCTTGCTGCAGGGGCTTGATGGGGAACTTGGTGGGGAAAAGGTGGAGGAGGGTATTGGAGCTGTAAATGATTTTGCTTCCAGCATCTTCAGCCAGGAAAGGCTCAAGATTCCCAAGAGTGGCTTGGGCCCAGCATGGAGAAGTAAGATGCTGAGAGAATGTGCCTTTGCTGGGGGCAGATTTTCTCCAGGCACCCTCCAGCTTATCCTCCCCCCTGGTGCCATGGGGCTGGGCTGGAGGGGGAGCTTTGCAGCTGAATTTAGGCCAAAACAAGTCTCAGGCCACCTAAAAGGGTTTGCCCAGGCTGCTGCCTTGGCTGAAGGGGGAGTTGAGTAACCCCATCCCCAGCTCAGCAGCCGGGTTGAGCGTTGGAGAGCTGTAGGAGAGAGAGGCAAGGCTAAGCCAAGCCTAATTACAGAGGAGGAGAAGAGCTCTGAAGCAGATGTGAGAAGCCAGAGAGCTCTGCAGACTTTGGTTTGTATTCGGGAGCTGAAGTGCTGCAGTGGAGAGGGGTTTGGAGCACAGAGAGTAAATAGTGGCTTCGTCTGTTGGCGGGTGCAATACAGCTGAGCTCACGGCTAATGCAAACAGTTTTCATTAAGAAATCACCAAAAATAAAAAGCCATTTCACATGCTGATAAGGAGCCCATTGGTTTTTTATATTTTGCCAGCAGTTTAAGCCCTACTCAAAGCCATTTATCTTTTTCCAGTGCTGGCTGCAGAGGATATGAAAAATGCAGCAGGCTGCACCATATGTAATTAAACTTTTGGCAGAATCTTTGCCCTGCAGCTTTCCTAAGAAATTCAATAATGATAAATCGAGTAGAATATATAGAGGGCTTTTCTTTCTTTTTTTTGTGAACAAGATTTAAAATAATGTATGTGGCTCAGATAATAATTTGCCACATAATAGTCTTGGCAAGATTCTCGCGGGCACCCTTGTCTGACTGTGTCAGCTCTTCTGTAGAAACAGCCCTGGTCCTGCTCTTATCACTACTCCAGTTTGCTGCTGGGGCTTTCCTGGTTTCCAGCCAAGTCTGTGTTTAGCTGTAATTATTGTTTTGTTCCCTTCAGCTTGCACAAGATGCAGCATTTCAAGCTGGGACCGCTCTGGGTGCTGCCTTTTGTGTGACAGCCCCGTGTCCGACGCTCCGAGCTGCTACCATCACTCCACTCTAATGATCTTCTATTTTTTTTAGCTTTTCCAACAGCAATTGGAGGCTGAACACATCGTTTGACCCGTGTGTAGTCTCACTGTTCTGTGTGACACTACTGGGAAGAATGATGCTGGGTTTGTCTCCCAGGTTTGGGTGGTGCTGCCGTTATCCCTCGCTAATGCACCGATAATTTGCCTGAGAGGCAATTTTGTGTTCCAGTTGTCCATCCAAACCACCCTCAGCACTTCCCCTCTGAAAGCTGCATCTATTCTGTTTATTCCTCACAGATTTCTCCCTCTTACTGCTGATGGGAGCAGAGCTCTGAGGACTGTGGCATCCTCACATCCTTCATCACCTCTGTCCTCGGAGACGCTTCAAATACACTTTTTACAAGTGTCATTTTCCTCCAAAGTGTTTTCTCACTAGTACCAAGTAGACTATTTGGAAGAGGTTTGAAGTTTGGGGTTTTTTTTCTGGCTTATTGTGCCTAAACTATGGTGGCAAGAGCTGAGACATCTGGGTTTTTGCTCGTGGCTGTGGGTGAGGTTGTCCTGCCTCCCGTGGCCATCCCCTGCCTGGGAGCACGTGGGCATCAGCCATACCCCAACAAGCAGCTCTTCCCTGATACAGCAAATCCCTGGGCTTACTCATTTTGTTTAGTTTATCCCAGGGAAGATGAGGGTGATGTGGTGGAGGACTTGGCCAAAGCAGTTGCATGGGGTGATGGATGGCTCCTTGACTTGGCATTTGGGTCTGCGCTGGGGCTGGAGGGAGAGGCTGGAGAAAAGCAGGGGAGGAGGAGGAGGAAGGCTCCAGCCTTAGCCTGGTCCTGGTGTAGAGCTGGGGTAGGTGAGAAAGAGGTGAGGGAAGATCTAAGATTGCAGGGGAAGATGTTGGACACAGGCTTGGGCTCTCTTAGGTGGCACATGCTTCTCCTGAGTCAATGGCTGGGCTGGGTTTTAAGAAGTCAGAAACGTTAAGGATGGACTGGACCAAGTCACACCATGACATGAGGGGAAAAAAACAAAAAAGGGAAAAACCCAGAAGGAAGCTGCCAGCTCTGGAGTAGCCTCTGGCCAGTGTGGGCAACACCATTGTTGGCTGGTGCTGTGAGAAGTGAGCTCACAGCAGAGGTGCTGCTGCACTCTCAGCACGAAGCTTTTTTGGCCTGATTGAAGAGAAAACAAGTGGCTGATATTACACTCTGTGCTCTCCCTGCCTTCCCCCAGCAGACACCCAGAATCTACAAAGGCAGACCATGCCCAGCAGCCACCAAACCCTCTGCTTTTGGCACCCAGCCTGCGTTTGGAGCTCACAGACACCCCCTCAAGAGCTGAGGCTGTGCAGCTCCTGCTTTTATTGAACGCTTTTCACTCTCTGTGAAAGGAGAGATGCTGCTGTTTTGTCACCTGAGTGCAAGTGCTCTTCTCTGAAAAAATAAACCCTTCACATCATTGTTTTTTCCTCCTCCCTGGAAAGCTCTTGATGCCAGAGGGGGGATTCCTGCCCCTCTCTGCATCCTCCCATCACCCTGGGTTTTGTGGATGTGCTCCTGGAGCTGGAAGCCCAGGGGGATGGTGGCCCAAACCCAAGCTGTGCAGGTCCACGGGTCAGTGTCAGTGGCTGGGGGGGGGGGGGGTGAGGGGAGAACCACAGCG